TTAGATAAGATATGTTTTCCTTTTAAATTCAGTTTGGAGACACCTTTAGTTCAGGTTTGAGACATAAACCGGGACTAAAGGTACATTTAGTCCGGGTTCGTGTCTCAAACCAGGACTAAAGATTCTCGCACTGACGTGCCTCTGATACACCTCGGTAACCGTTGGACAGGGACCTTTAGTCCCGGGCGCGAAAAATACCGGGACTAAAGCCAAATTTCGAAGTGGATCAAAAGTCGTTTCTCTACAGTGATGGAAACACACATGGAAATTGTGAAAAGGAAAGTGTCAAGATATTTTTATGACATAGTTACCAATTCACATACATATGACACTATGATATGAATTACTCCTATTTAAACTTAAAAAGCATCTTATGTAAAAAAAAAGAAAAACAGCAAATTAAAGTTAACTTTTATTAGGATTTTTTGATAATTACTTTTATTAGGATTGAAGTTGTTGATCTAGCTAGTCACAAATAAATAGTATGGGAGCAAAAGTACATACAGGTCAAGAATTTGTGATGAAAGCTAAGCTAGTGCAGAATTTGTGATGAAAGCTAAGCTAGTGCACAAAGGATGAAGACGATGAAAACAAAGATGAAGAAGGGAAGCATATATTTTACCGTGTTCGTCGTCGTCTTGTTGGGGCGGGCGGTGAAGACCACCATGGACACGGCCTTCAACCATCGCCACCCCTTCACCATAGGATCCCTTCTGATCTCAGGGTCGTCGTCGTCGTCACCGCCTGCTGCACCTGCATGATGCTCCGCTCGACGATCCCATGACTCGTCGTCTAGCTCTGCTGCAGGCACCACCACCAAATCCTCCGTGGCGGCTGCTCGCTGGAGCCGTTGCTCCTCCTCGGTTTCCATTATCGAGGTTTCCATTATCCGCGCGCCGATCCTTGACTAGTAGAGAACAGACCTTTTATCCGATGCTAAAATGGGCTCTAGTCCCGGTATTTTTTGCGCCCAGGACTAGAGAGACCTTTAGTCCCGGTTGGTGTCTCCAACCGGGACTAAAGATCCGTGCCCAACGGCTACTGCGCTCGGCACAGTGGCAGAGGACCTTTAGTCCCGGTTGGAGACACTAACCGGGACTAAAGGCGTACCTTTACTCCCGGTTGGAGCCACCAACCGGGACTAAAAGTCCTCAACCTTTAGTCCCGGTTGGTAACACCAACCGGGACTAAAAGTAGACCATTTACTCCCGGTTGGTAACATCAACCGGGACTAAAGGTCGTCCGATGGGTTAGTTCAAAAGGGAAGCATCCCATCCATTGTTAGATGTGTTGTGTATGTGGGGTGGTAAGCTACGCGCGAGGCAATGCATGGGGTCTTGGGTTCGAATCTCACGGGACGCAGCGGTGGGAGGCATTATTTTTTTTAAAGCTGGGAGGACCTTTAGTCCCGGTTGGTGTTACCCACCGGGACTATGCTTACTCCCGGGTGGGGAACCGGGACTAGAGGGGGTTCTTCACCGGGAGTAAAGCTCTGTTCTCTGAAGCTCAATTCCAGTTGGACTGTTGGAGGCATGTACTACGTGCTTATATTTTGATTTGGATGTGGGGGGTTGGGGGTGGAGCACCTATATAGCTATATATATCGCTTTCATTTTGTTAATGAATCGCAGCACCGTACCGGCCTTGCAGCCGTCCCACCATTTCTTCCTCTCTTACAGCAAACCAATGGCGAGCTGATGAGCAGAGTTGTTGGAATTTGGAAACTGGAACGACCGACGACGACGTCGTCGTCACGGGGGAACACTGTAACAACTCGCCGGCTTCTGTGGCAAACTGGCAATGGCTGCTGTCCTGCTAGCGCTGTCATGCATGACGAACGCCTCCTGCTCTCAATTCGTCTCTCTCAGATCCGATCCGATTCAGACTCGCAATTGATTAAGTCACAATATAATGCCAAAAGGTTGGACAAATATGTTATATATATGCAGAGAGGAAGCAGACAAGGGACCGGACCGGAAGGAAACAGTCAGTGACAGCTGATCTATACTGCCGGCCGCGCCGCGTGCTGCTGTAAACTACTCCTACTACTAAATCAGGTAGGAAGTAGGATAAAAGTAGGAAGGAAAGAGCCAGTGGCTCATCGCATCAGTGGCGCCAATTGACCTCCACAATCTTCACTCAGCGATGCTTCGTTCAGGTTTCCAACACACGGTTTCTAGTTATGATTTTCCCAACCGATTTATCTTACTAAGTATAGCTGATTGAACTTTTCTTTTCTCCTAGAAATATATCTCCTTTTCTTGCACGCCCGCCAGTGTTCGCCTACATGGCCGTATAGACCGATTTACTCGGCGTTTAAACTTTACTCGGCAGCTTGGTGTGTAGTTTAGCCCATAAACGGTAGGTGGTTACACGGTGAGTCCGGCCGTGTAAACTGTCAAAATCAGTTATACACGATCTCGACGGTCTACACGGCTCGTTGGCAACACGGTTTTGCAAGACGATTGTTCAGTTTTAATAGGTGTCCTTGTCTTCAACTGTCAGTTAGAGAGAGATGAGTTCCTCCACGTCTAGTGCTCTCGTGCTAGCAGCAGCAGTACTCCTAGCACTGACCTTAGCCCAGCATGGCTCCCTCGCCGCAACCGTCGGACCCAGGGTCATCGTCGTCGGCGCCGGCATGTCCGGTAAACATATATATGTCATACATATCAAACAACACGTCTGCCCTGACGACGATGTTGATGAGATGATGAGGTATTTTGTTATATATGTGGATACTTTTTCAGGGATCTCGGCGGCGAAGAGGCTGTCGGACGCCGGGACAACCGACCTGCTGATCCTGGAAGCGACGGACCACATCGGCGGCCGGATGCACAAGAAGAACTTCGCCGGCATCAACGTCGAGGTTGGCGCCAACTGGGTGGAGGGCGTGAACGGCGGCAAGATGAACCCCATCTGGCCCATCGTCAACTCCACGCTCAAGCTCCGGAACTTCCGCTCCGACTTTGATTACCTCGCCCAGAACGTCTACAAGGAGGAGTACGTCGACTATAGAGAGCTTATGAGCTCTGCTAGCTATTCCGTTCCATCCGTTAAAATTATAGTTCACCTTGATTTGTTATAAGTCAACATTTTTTAACTTCAACGAAACCTTTAGAAAATATACATAAAATCTAAACAGATGCTCAATCAAAACATATTTCATGGATAATTTAATAAAACTGCACTTTGGCCACGGTCGACTCTCAATAGCTAGACTGTTGGATCCCCATGGCCGCCACGGCGATGAAGACGCCAAGATCCGATGGCTCTTTCATTTCGAGAGGTGGCTTGTTTAGGCATCTGCCTCTGAAAATGTCAAGGGTATTTTAGGAGGTGATGCACATGAACGTCTCCGAAAATAAATTGGGTTGTCTTCGGTAATCTTTTTTATAGGCAAAGCATCAAATATTTTTTGACCGTAAAATAAATCTTTTTTACGCTGACTGTAGATCATAGGCAAAGTATCAAATATTTCTTCCTTGAGGTAGTACTATAGGATAAGTTAGCCATATATCATAGCTTGGTTTGAAACATTGGATGTAGAAAAAACGCGCTTCATATTTTTTTTTTTAAAAAGGAGCATGGAAATAAGATCTAAGAAAGGCTAATTAATATGAAAAATGTTGGCTAGATCATTGTAAACGGTTTCATCCTCAAACTCCCGGCAAGAGCTTGCGTGCTGTTCGCCTGGCTTCGAGATGGAGGTGGAGCTTGTGCTTGACTTCCCTGCACCAATCTTACCCGTCTGTTTTTCAATTCCGAGCAATTTGGGAGTTACTACAGATATTATACTTGACAACATGTTATTGTATTTATTCATGTGTGCATTTTGCTGTATATATAAACTGCAGCGGTGGCCTCTACGATGAAGATTATGTTCAGAAGAGAATTGACCGAGCTGATGGTGTGGAAGAGCTCGGGGAGAAACTCTCTGGCACTTTGCACGCCAGTGGCAGGGACGACATGTCTATCCTTGCAATGCAGCGCCTCAACGATCAGTACGTCCTATATATTATATACCGATGGAATAATTTCTGAGCTAGAGGTGTTGCTGAATAGGAGTGGTCTGTAATTTGAAAAAAAAAGGACTGTAAAACTGCAAACTAACTAATGCATGCAATGGGCAGCCAGCCGAACGGGCCGGCGACGCCGGTGGACATGGTGGTAGACTACTACAAGTTCGACTACGAGTTCGCGGAGCCGCCGCGGGTGACCAGCCTGCAGAACGTCGTCCCTCTCTCGACCTTCAGCCACTTCGGCGACGACGTCTACTTCGTCGCCGACCAGCGGGGCTACGAGGCCGTCGTGTACTACCTCGCCGGCCAGTTCCTCAAGACAGACAGGTCTGGAAAAATCGTCGACCCGCGGCTGCAGCTCAACAAGGTCTACATGCTTGCATTTTTCTTCTCTGATGCTGCGATGTATAAGGTCGTAGATAATACAACAAATCACATGCATGTATATATACATAATAAATAGGTGGTGCGAGAGATCAGCTATTCCCCGGGTGGCGTCACCGTGAAGACGGAGGACAACTCGGTGTACAGGGCAGACTATGTTATGGTTTCTGCAAGCCTGGGTGTCCTGCAATCCGCTCTCATTCAGTTCAAGCCGCAGCTACCTGTCAGTAGTTCCTACCTCAACTATATATTCCCATCCATATATGTATATATATAAAGGGTACCTTGTACCTTGCATATATATTTCCTCAGCAATTTCCTTGTCTGTCCCAGGCATGGAAGGTTACGGCGATCTACCAATTCGACATGGCCGTGTACACCAAGATCTTCCTTGAGTTCCCCAAGAAGTTCTGGCCTGAAGGGAAAGGAGAGAGTTCTTCCTCTACGCGAGCAGCAGGAGAGGTTACTATGGAGTGTGGCAGGTACAGAAAGCATCAATGATGTTATTGTTAGCATATAGTTTTTTTTTTATGGGCAGAATTAAATCAGATTTTGAACGAATACTGAACATTTTGCAACAATATATGATCTACTCAGGAGTTTGAGAAGCAGTATCCTGGTGCCAACGTCCTCCTTGTCACCGTGACCGACGAGGAGTCGAGGCGTATTGAGCAGCAGTCGGACAACCAGACCAAGGCAGAGATCATGCAAGTGCTGAGGAAGATGTTCCCCGGCAAGGACGTCCCGGATGCCACCGACATCCTTGTCCCGAGATGGTGGTCTGACAGGTTCTACAAGGGCACCTTCTCCAATTGGCCAATTGGTGTCAACCGCTACGAATACGACCAGCTTAGGGTACTACCATATGGATCTTCAATTTTGTGCTTCTATATATGTTGCTATTATGCTCCTATTTTTGAAGGCCTCATCCTTTGACTTTGAACCTCTCATTCTTTTTTCTGCATTCTAGGCACCGGTTGGAAGGGTATACTTCACCGGTGAGCATACCAGCGAGCACTACAATGGCTATGTCCATGGCGCTTATCTTTCAGGTAGATATATGTATTCACATGAGGTCTTCAATTGCCTACCCTTGAGCTTGCCAAGACTTCTAGCTAGTGATATAAGCTTAATTTGAAACTTACGGCGTGAATTTTCATTGTATATATGTTGACAGGTATCGACTCTGCTGAAATTCTCATCAACTGCGCCCAGAAAAAGATGTGCAAGTACCATGTCCAGGGCAAGTATGACTAGAAGCTCCAACAAATTAAACGTCTCCTCTTGTTGTACAACGGAGAATCTACCTATGGATAAGATGGCAGTTGGCAAGCCTTTTCATTATTGCAATAAGGCGGCTGATTTATAAAGCTTCAATGCCTGTTACCATGTATGATTTCTGATTAAGTATTCTGCGTAAGTACAATGTTGCTCTTTTTATATTGAGTGGTGCGTGGCTTATGATATTCTATCTATCGATCTGTCAAACAAAACTTTGTATCGCGTAGTTCCAGTGGGAACAGTGGCAGACCCACGATTTGTAAAAGACTATAGGGCCAAATTTTAGCGGCCAAACTCTGGAGAAATACGATACTAAAGTCCTAGTCCTTCATATTGTATACTGTAATTTTAGAATGTAACTGGAATCCAACCTCTACAAACTAAGAAGGATTGAAAATTGAAATTGGAAAACAATGCAAACCGGGGCTGCAGCTGCTCTGATCCTCAGTTGTCAGCTCCTGTCTTCAAGGGCGCTGGAACGGCCACCGCAGGGGCTGGGGGCTGGGGCGCTGCCTCGTTGGGCGGCGGGCGGGCAGCCGGCGACCGGCCGAGCCACCGAGGGCGCAGCCGACAGCCGCGCAGGCCGGAGCCGCTAAGGGCGGAACAGAAAGGGCGAGCCACGGTGCCGGCAAGCGGCGGAGCGCAGATGCGGAGCGAAGGGCCGGAGGGAGGCAGTGAGCGACGTGCGACGGCGACGCCCTTGGTGGCGAGGCGGGCGACGGTGCGACTCCAGACGGAGTGACGGACGAGGATGAGATGCGGCTCGCGAGTGAGGTGGTGTGAGTCGGGTGAACGAGCTGCCTTATTCCCAGCTGGGCTGACTCTTTGTTGGGCTGATGGGCCAAAAAAATTGAAGAGTTGCTACCTGTTTATTTGGGCCACGACTAGGGCCATGGCCCTACTGGCCCTGGTGCTGGGTCCCCCAATGAGTGGGAAGAGCACAATTTGTTGTCAAGAGTGGTGAACCATTTTGTTCTTCTGCTGTTCAAGATTCAGGATCCCTATAGTCAGCACTAGCACTGTCCGGATGCCCGCGGCTGCTCCGCCCCGTCTACTCGGATTCGCGCGCCGCCCGCGCCAGCTCTATTTCCAGCGCTCATGTCCGATCCGCCCGCTTCAGATCCACTGTTCACGCTGCTCGGATGACTCGCCCCGCCTTTTCCACACCGGCGCGGTGCCCGTCACTTACAGGCCGCCTGGAAGACTCGCCCCCGCCTCTTCCACAACAGCACCGTGCGCCCTGTGCCTCCTCCCCACGTCGGTGGCCGCGGCTTGGCCCTACCCGCCCTCATGGACAACAACGTCAGCGGTCTGCACTTACAACATGAAATACTCGAATGCAACATACATTTGAAACAGATGAAACATTTTGGACACACACTTACAACATGTATGAAACATATGCAACATCCAGATAAAACAACTGCAACATGAAACAACATTTACTGCAACAAAAGACAGAAACAGCTGAAACATTTGGAACATACTGTTGCAACATATGTGTGAAAACATATGCAACATCCAGATAAAGAACGATTGCAACATACGTCTGGAAATAGATGAAATATTTTGAACAAAAGTTTGCAACATGCTTCTAAAACACTTGCATCATAAGCAACATATGCAACATCCCGCGATCTACTTTTGCAACATCCATAAGAAACAACTACAACATACCTTTGAAACGATTGAAATACCTTAAAACATACATTTGCAACATAGGAGAGGGGAAGCCTGGGCCGGTCGATTCTAGCCATCAGGGTCAGAGCCGGCGGCAAGCGGTGACGCACGAGCACCAGCGCCACCAGTACTAGGCTTGGCTTGACGGCGACGGTGGGAGATGGGGGGCGAGGAGTGCCATGGCCGCCAGGGTGGGAGGAGCTCAGTCGCCGTGGTGAGAGAGGGCGCCACCGGGGGTGGGGGAGGGCGTCGCGCCGGGGTGGAGGAGAGCCGCCCACTCCCTTGCAACATCGTCGCGCCACCTCCATTGATGTCGCCAGAGGCGAGTGGATCTCGCTCCTGCTTCATGGATCTCGCCGGGGTGGGGGAGAGGGCCTCTAGATCTACGGGCATTGGGGCTCCCGGTGGGGAAGGACGACGGGCGTTGGTGCGCTACGGCAGGGGTGCGGAGCGCGGAATGGGTAAGGGTGGGAGCGGAGCGGATCAAGGCATGCATGAGTTGACTTTGTTAGGTGAGGCGTGTTTTTTGACATGAGCGGCGCATGCGGCATTGAGTGGAGTGAGGCGTCTGGCCTTCCGGACATCTTAATGGTAGCATTACCATTTGTGTTTTCTCTCACCCCAACATTACAGAAGCGTCAGTTTTGGATCAATCAACTCCATGGGGATTAGGGGAATGGATGTGTCGGATACCACAAGAAGGGGTACCCTAAGCAAGAACCAAAAATATTGCTTAAAGCCTTGCAAAAATCAAAGCCAAAGGACAACCACGAGGTCTCAGCAGATTCTCCGACTCGCCCAAGGCTTGCGTCGAGGCCTCAGATGAAAGGCTAAAGCCCTCCGCCCCGCCGAGGCCCCGCCCCGCAAGGCCTCGGATGGGATACCAATTCTCCAATTCGCCCAAGGCTGGGCTCGGCAACAACCTCGTCACCTCCGTCCCGACCGACTCCCCTGACAAAGCATCACGTCCAGTTAATGCGCCCCACTACTCCCGCAACGTCAGCCGCACGTCGGCACTGTACAGACAGAATGACCGACGGGACAGGGGACCGGGCGCAGCAGGGGTTACCTACCACTGTGCTCATCACTGTGCCCCCTGCTGACACCCGTACTGCCCTGTGCTGCCTAACTCCTGCGCCAAGGACAAAGTGGCGTGGAGGGTCAAGTCCGGGTCCCAGTAGTTTTGGAATCAGCATGAAAGACCAAACCGTTCGTCCTCCGCCTCGTCCGAGACCCCCCAGCAAGGCCTCGAGCGTACTATTCCTTCTCCGCCTCGTCCGAGACCCCCCGGCAGGGCCTTGGACGTACTATTCCTTCTCCGCCTCGGCCGAGGCCGGGCTCGTCCCGCATCCCCGTCGCCTCCACCTCAACCGTCCCACTGGCGAGCCGTCACATCCATTTAAATGCACCTGGTCACACCTACTACGCCAGCCACAACTGACAGGGTACAGCGACAGGGGCGATGGGACAGCGGTCAAATCTCCTTTTTACCATCCCCTACTGATGGTGCAGGGGTTATCGTGCCCTGTGGACGCACGCTCCGCACTTCTCCACCTGAACCGGGTACGACGCTGACCGCCGAGACCCCCGCATCATACACAGGTCACCTCCGAGGCCTCGGCAAAGCAGGCCTCAACATGATCAGCTACAGCACCCGCCAGGCCTCGGCACTCCACCAAGTCAGGAACACACAAGGCACGGCATGCCTCCTACAGTGGAAGCCATACTGGCTAGACGTCAACAAGGACTCCCACGACCTCAACAACCTCGTGCCTGGCCAGCACGACACGCCAGTCAAGTACCAATCGCCATCCCCAACGCCATACTACTATAGGACTGAACTACAGTAGGCTCCACGTATAGCTCACTCATGTACTCCTGGCTCCCTCCTTGTGGTTATAAAAGGAAGCAGCCAGGGATAGCTCGGGGAGGGGAAAAAGAGGAGAAAAAGAGGAGAAAAAGGGGAGAAGAAGAACACCTGATAGCACACACACATACGCATCCCAGCCGCCTAAGAGCAGCGTCTCAAGCCACCCACACGACACCTCGCCGAGACCTGGGATTAGCTCCCTCTCTCACTGTGCTTGTAACCCCCTACTACTAGCACTTCGGTGCAAGGAATACAAGATCGATCTCTCAGACTGGACGTAGGGCATCGATTGCCTGAACTAGTATAAACCTTGTGTCTCTTTGCATCACCATCCGGGATTAGGGGCACGCAGTTCACATTTACTGGTTGGTTGAGGACCCCCGGTCCAAAACACCGACAGTTGGCGCGCCAGGTAGGGGATCTACGTGTCAGTTTCGTCATCCCAACAAGTTCCGGATGGCAGACCCCGTACGGCCGTTACGTCTCGGCACGATGATCTGGTTCGGGGGCCTAGAGTTCATGTCCCTGGGGCATGAGTACGACATGGTACTCCTCACGCCCCGAACCCCACCAACCGACGGTGACATCACGCACCGGCAGCCTAGGCGCAGGCGGCGCCCGGGCGGCCGCTCTCGCCGTGCTCGCCAGGCACGACACGAACAAGACCACCCCAATGCTACTCGAATCCAGGACGGCAAGCCGCTCCCCGCCGACATCCTACGACCAGCTGTTGGCACAGGCTCCCTGGCTGGGGACCTGTCTAGCCTAAGCTTGGATGAAGGAAAAACGCCGGTGGCACATGGCGACGCCCAGTCACCAAGCTCCGCTCCACCACTCCCTGAAGAGCCAGTTTCGGTGGAGCAAAGTCCGGCGACGGCACCATCCTCATACCCCTTTGGGTTGAGAAATGCCGCCACCTCTTATGCTTACGCTTACGCCGCCGCTCCCAAGGATCCCCCGGAACGCCGCCAGCGCTTCACTCTCGACCTGGGCACCCACGCCGACTCCTCGGAGGAGGACGAGGCATGGCCCGGAGTGGATTTCTCTGGACTCCACGACCCCGGGGCTATGCGCCGTTTCCTGGCCGCAAGCGACTACTGCTTCGGCTACTCCGACTCCGACAACGAGGGCACGTACGACCCCGCTCGCGAGTGTTTCCACGTCGGGCTCGGGATGCCGAGGGCGGGCGAGGAAGACGAGGGGGCGGGTAGCCGTTCCCCGCTTCGCCCAGGTACAGGCGCCGCCACACCTCCGCGCATTCTCCTACCGGCAGCACGGAACGAGAGCCCTGCTCTTGCGCGACCTCAACGTCCAGACCTGGAACAGCTCCGTGAGCTCCAGGCCAAGGTCAAACAGGACTGACTCCTTCTACAGTAGCTTCGAGACTCTCTCGAACAGGAGCAGCGAGGTCACGGCGAAGGCGGAG